TTGTCCAACTCTTTCTGTATTTTGTGCCATAATGGTTCATAGTTATACTGATATAATTTCGTATTTGCGGTCATAATATAGACCCCCAGATATTTGACCTTCTTAACTACTTCAAATCCTGTTAACCTTTCTATCTCTTCTTTTTGGCTCCTAACCATATTTTTAGCTATTATTTTTGTTTTAGCTGCATTTATTTTAAAACCAGATACTTGTCCATATAAGCAGGTTATATTAATCAAGGCTGTAATCGATTGTACCGGTTGGGTTAAGGTAACAACTAGGTCATCCGCAAATGCTCGTGCCTTGTATTCATGCTGTCTAATTTTAATTCCCTTAATTGTATTCATCTCGCGTATCTTGTTTAATAAAATTTCCAGCGTCAAAATAAACAATAACGGGGACAAGGGACAGCCTTGCCTTGTTCCTTTTTCTATGTTAAAAACATCTGTTAAACCACCATTAACTATTATTTGCGCTGTTTGTTTTTGATATATTGCCTTAATAGATTGTACAAATTGTTCTCCAAATTGCATCCTTTCTATTAGTTTTAATAAAAATTGCCAATTCAATCTATCAAAGGCTTTCTCAGCATCCAAGAACACAAGCACTGCGGGGACCTGGTTGTTCCTTCCCAAATACTCTAATAAGTTAACAATTTGCCTTACATTACCCTTCATTTGTCTACCATTTATAAAACCAGTTTGATCATGGTGAATCATTTGCTGCATGACTGTCATTAATCTATTTGCCAAAATTTTTGCAAATATCTTATAGTCTGTATTTAATAATGAAATTGGCCTATAATTTTTAGGATCTGTATCGTCATGCCCTTCTTTTGGGATCAACGAAATAAATGCTGTCTTCCAAGTTGGAGGTACCTCTCCTCCCTGTTGTATATTGTTAAATAATTCTTTCAGCGGTTCTATCATTTCCTCCTGTAAGGTTTTATAGTAAATAGCCGTCAAACCGTCCGTCCCAGGAGCTTTACCCACTTTCAACTGCTTAATTGCTAACGCAATTTCCTCAGAAGTTATCGATTGATTTAAACTATCCCTCTGCTCATTTGAAATTGTATAAATATTCTCTTTCTGCAAATATCTATCTATATCTATATCTTTAATTTTATCACCAGTATACAGCCTCGAATAAAACTCTAAAAAAGATTTTTTAATCAATTGTTGCTCATAAACCTCTTTACCCTTATATTTTATTCTCTCTATTGTCCTTGATTTTTGCTTTTTCCTTAACAAATATGCTAACCACCTGCCTGGTTTATTGGCATTGTAAAAAGTATTATGTTTTGCATATCTTAAATTAGTTGCCACTTGATCTGCTATTAACATATTAAATTGACCTTTCAATAAATTGATTGCCTCTTTAATTTTCTTATCTGTTGGATTAGCTACTAAAGCCCGTTCCTGTTTACTAATCTCATCTTCTAATTCTTTTCTTTTTGTCCCCTGTTTCTTTCTATATTTATTATTCAAATATATCAAAATTCCTCACATATATACCTTACTTGCATCCCATACCATTTCCATCGATGTGCCCTTTTGCATATTCATAACAAAAAATTCTTTCATAAATTTTTTACACTCTTTTACATTTTCTTCGTGCCTAAACAAATTATCATTTAACCTCCAGGACCTCCTAGGCCCTTTCTCATACTCCAATTCCAGCCAAACTGGACTATGGTCTGTCAATGTTCTTGAGCAAATCTTCGTATTTTTCACCCTAGATAAAAGATCGTTAGTAATTAATATAAAATCAATCCTTGAAAAGGATTGATGTCTATCTGAAAAAAAAGTAAAATCTTTTTCTTCCAGGTTTCTTTCACGCCAGATATCTCTCAACTCCCAGTCATCCATCATTTCCCAAAACGCTTTGGGCAATTTTGCTCTTGTTGACACATTTTGTTTAGGTCCCATCTTGTCTTTTTTAACATCCAAAACACCATTCCAATCGCCTAACAGGATACAAGTTTTATATGCCCAGTGTGTCAATTTTGAGTGTAGTAAATTATAAAAGTTTTCTTGTTGTTGATTCGGGGCATAAACTCCGATTACAAGTATTTTTTCTCCTTTTACTAAAAGTTCTATCGCTAAAAACCTTCCTTGATTGTCTGCTTCAATTCATTTGGCAACTAAGTCTCTTTTCAAATATATAACTATACCATTTTTATTTTCTGGTGCTGCTGCTACGTAAGATGTACCAAGTCTTGCATTAATCAGATATTTTTGATCTTGTATTCTTATATGAGTCTCTTGTAAGCAAATTACTTCATTCTTAAATTGCTTAAGATAGTGAAATATTTTTCTTCTTTTCTGTGGAGAATTCAAGCCATTAACGTTCCAAGTCAAAAATCTAGTTCCCATCTCTGGGCCTTTGGAGCCTCTGAAGCAAGTCCTGATGCTCTGATCTCATTTGAGTTTTAGGTCTTGCTCCCCCCACTGCTCCTGTTCTAGTAGTATCTTGAATCATTTCTTGAGTTGCCATCTGGGATTGTTGCTGTCTTAATTATTCCTTGAGTCTAGCTGTCACCGATCTGGTCTGTCTTTGATCCTTTGGTAACTGCGAGAAATCAATCAGCGCCAACTCTTGAGTAGCCATTTGAATTTGAATTTCTTCTTGATCAGCCAAAGCTCCCCCCTGAACTACTGTCAAGAGCTCTTCTGTCTCAGCTTCCATTACTTCTTTCTTTCTTTTGCCTTCTGGTGATTTAGTTGATTTGGGTGTGCCAGCCTTTAATACATTAGTATGAAAATCTCTTGCTTTCCAAATTGTGTTAAGCCGATATCTCTCTCCTGAATAAGTCACCACTAGTCCAGTTGGCACCTCCCATCTGTACTGTATCTGACGTTTTCTCAGTTCATCCACCAGAAAGGCATACTCCCTTCTAGCTCTCAAGATCTTAGGGGGGGGTTTCTTTCATTGTCATTACTTCCTGGCCTTCCACCCGAAGCTTGTTTTTAAAAGTAGCCTGTAAAATTTCGTTGCATACTCTCCTTGTAGTAAAATATATCACAATGTCTCTTGGTAGATGTTTCTGTCTAGCAATCCAGGAATTAACACGGTACAGCTTGTCCATCTGCCAGCCCAGATCATTTTTGGACTCCCCCACCAGCGGTGCCAATGCCTCAGACATCATTTCTCTCAAATTCTCTTGTTTATTCTCCTTCACCCCTCTGAATCTTAAAGCAAATTCCATATCTCTGTATTGTACCATTATTACATCGTCTTCAGCCCTTTGAATTCTGAGCTTCTCCTATTTTACTATCCAAAATTTCAGAAGATTGTTTAATTTCCTCAACTCTGTCATCCACCATCTCAATATTGCCTGCCAGACACTTAAATGCCATTAATATATCATCCCTAATCCCCTGATTGCGAATTGCAATCTCAACTGACACAGCCTGTATCTTTTCATTAGTTTCCTTAATTTTTTCATTAGTTTCCTTAATTTTTTCATCAATTACATCAACAATTTTATTTTGGGTGATTTGGAGAGCTTGTTGCAACATTTCCAACGTTAAAGTCTGTGGATCCGCTGGAGGAGCAGAAACTTGTGATCTAGGAATATGAGCTGGGGAGCTACCAGCACTCCCAGTTCCTTTAGTAGGAACAGTTTTTACAGACTTTGAGGCCATTTCCAGTTTGAAATTAGTCTTTATATTTAATCAGAGTCAAAAAGAAGAGTTCCTCAAAAGATTTCCCAATGTTAATTAACGTTTAAAATCCTCCTTCTGTCAGCACAAAAGCTTTTTTTTTTCCCAAGCGAAGGGCTGCCAGCAAAACGAAACTTTTCCTGTAACTTTCCGTTTCCCCCGCCCTTTCAAGCTTCAATCGCCATATTGTTGCAAAGTACTAAGTGATTACTTCCGAAGGAGGCTCTAGGCATTGGAGTTAGGTAAAAAATACTTGCAGTCTGATTTCTCCTTGCTCGTTCCGCCTGCTGTTAGTTCAAGATGTTAATTCCCTCATTTCCATTCAGCAAGATTGGTCGCGGCTTCTAATTCCGCTAATTATAATTAGCGGAGACGTCCCTGGTCTGGAGCGGCTTGACAGGCTTTTAGGGAGCGCGCGCCCTTCGCGCCCCAGGATTTTTCCTAGGGCGTTCGGGGGGGTTCTACCTCCACCTGCCTGCTCTTCTCTCTCCCCTTTGCCCGGGGAGAGAATTTCAAGCCTCCAGACAGCGTTTGTCGGCTGCTCTGGGGCTTTAACGGAGCCAGGGAGCAGACGCTCTCAAAAGAACGTCTTTCGAGGCTCGCGGAACCAGCGGAAGTCACCCCTTTTGCCATCTTGTTGCCTCCAGCCCTGTCTGCAAGAATGAGAAGGTCTTAAGTTGCCCAGAGCTATCTTGTGTTAAGTTGTATTTTCCCCTTTATTCAAAGGCAGTCTCAACGTGCATAAAATCCACTCAGCATTTCCTTGAAGGGTGATGCTAGGAATTGATCCAGGAGATGGAAAATAGCATAGCAAAACAGAGGAGGAGGTAAATTTTGTGTTGGTAAAATTTTGTGCTGACTTAAGGACTTAATGGCTGTAAGGTTTTGCGCATGCGCAGAGGGTCTGTACTCGCTTTGCTCGTGCGTGCGGCACATGCACTTCTGAACCAATAAGGAAGGTAAGTAGATTTCACCCCTGGCTTGGATTCAGGTAGTCCTCAATTTGCAATTATTCATTTAGTGTTACAGTGGCACTAAAAAAAAGGTTAGTTCATCAATGGGAAAAGGTCTTTAATCTTCCCACCAGAAAGAGCAACTAACCAATGATTTCCAAAGGGAAATTCTGTGCCCTCCCAAGCTTGCAAGATACATCTCTCCCAGTGGTGGGATTCAAGTAATTTAACAATCAGTTCTCTGCCCTAATGATTTCTTCCAACAACCAATTTGCCAAACTTCAGAAAGTTAACAACCGGTTCTCCCGAAGTGGTGCGAACCGGCTGAATCCCACCACTGATCTCTCCCTATTCATTCATAATGTTTGCTTCTTCCTGGTAGGTTTCAGCTATGTGGTTCTACCTAGCCGTCCTGGTGGGACTTTACTTCCTTCGTCGATGGTACCGAGAGAGACAGACAGTGGAGAAACTGACAGATAAATATGTCTTCATTACCGGCTGTGATTCTGGCTTTGGGAACCAGCTAGCCAGGCAGTTGGACTCTCGGGGTCTGCGGGTGTTGGCCGCTTGTCTCACAGAGAAGGGAGCACAGCAACTGGAGAGACTCACATCGGACCGGTTGAAAACCACCCTGCTGGATGTCACCAGCACTGAGAGTGTTGCAGCAGCAACTGAATGGGTGAAAACATGTGTAGGGAACAAAGGTAACCAACTCCTTCTATTTATATCCGTGCTCTGGCCATACTTACTGTATGTATGTAGATGGAGGGACTTGGGTACAGGTAGTCCTCAATCTACAATTGTTCAAAGTTACAATGGCACTGAAAAAGCAACTTACAATTGGTCCTTGTACTTATGACCATTGCCGCATACCCACAGTAACATGATACAAAATCTGGGTACCTGACAACTGGAGTCTATTTATGACTGTTGCAGTGTCTCAGAGTCACACGATTGTCATTTGTGACAAGCTTCCAACAAGCAAAAGACAATGGAGGAAGTTGGATTCGCTCAACGACTACGTGATTCACTAGACTGCATAAAAGATTATAAAATCAGGCATGACTTGCTTAACAACCACCTTGCTTAGCAATGGAAAATGTGGTCGTACATCGAGGACTGCCTACACTTAATTTCAAATATTAGCTGCTAGGATAAAGTGTTTTATGTCTTTGGCAGCGAGTAAATTTTCCATGAGTATCCAGCATTGTCACAATTAAAATAACAAACAAAGGGAGCTAAAGGGAAGACGGACTCTTCCCTTATTTAATTTTCCTTGAAAAGCAGCTGTTGGGAAATTCTACCTTAATCTAAACAGTTTTGGAGAACGGAAGTAAGCCATTTATCTCACCTGTGCAATATTTTCATCCTCCATAATTCTCCAAAGATGTTTTAGCCAGTGGAGGGTCAACACATACTGTGCTGCTCCACTCACTCACACTCACACGTTAGTGGGGTTTATGGAGGGTTTTGTCTTCCCCCAGCAGTTCTCTTCACCCAGCTTTAAAACTGTCCCAACCGAAGCCAGCTACAAACAATCCCAGATTAATTCCCCAGACAATGGCCAATTAGTCCATAATACAAACAGCAAGCTGTTCAAACAGTGAGTCCAATAAATGAACATAACCCCCCCCCCCCCCCCAGGCAAAACTTGAAGTACATCCACATTAGCTCACGGGTTATAGTAATTCAGAGTCTCAGGAAACACAAACGAGCACACAGCCACGACCCACGCACATTGCTTCCAGCAACGCCCCCCTCTGCCTGCTAAATCGCGGTGAAATGTAAAATTTGTTACTACCAGTTCTGTGGGCGTGGCTTGGGGGGTAATGTGACTGGGTAGGTGTGGCCAACTTTTTTTAAAAAAAAACTTTTCAAAGCATTTTTTTCTCTCTGCCGATCAGGAACTCATCTGGGATTGTCAAAGAAGCTCTTTAAAAAATGCCTCTCTGCCAATCAGGGAACTCAGCTGGGATCGTCAGAGACTTTTCAAAGCATTTTTAACCATCTCTTCGGCCAAGAGGTTGCAGGAAAAAAAATGCTTTGAAAAGCCTCTGATGATCCCAGATGAGCCGTGCGATCATCAGAGGCTTTTTTTTTTTACTTTTAAAAGCATTTTTTCATCGGAAGGGGTTGTAGAAAAAATGCTTTTAAAAGTTTTTTTTTAAAAAGCCTCTGATTATCGTGCGGCTTAGCTGGGCATGGTGGGGGGGGCCCACAGGGATTTTTGCTACTGGTTCTCTGAACCACCCGCCGCCATCGCTACCAGATCGTAATTCCTGATGTGCCAGGAATGATCTCATTCTCCCTTGAGCCAGCCTCTAAGGAAGCGTTGGAGGAGGAGTCCCAAGGAGACATCACACTTGCATCAGATAGACACTCAATGATATTTAAAACAATAAAGCCTGCTTCATGACACTTGTACAAATTTAATGATGCAACATGTAACCTTTGTCATTCCTCTGATGTTGTCACGGCATAAGTGTCATCACTTCCCTCCCTTTTTGTTTTAGGGAAATGGGCCATTTTGGTTGTGACAACGAATATTTCATACAACCCTTAAAGCAGTGGTAATAGCAAAGCAATAGCACTTAGACTTATATACCACTTCATAGTGCTTTACAGCGCTCTCTAAGCAGTTTACAGAGTCAGCCGATTGCCCCCAACAATCTGGGTCCTCATTTTACTGACCTCGGAAGAATGTAAGGCTGAGTCAACCTTGAGCTTGGTGAAATTTGATCTGCCAAACTGCTGGCAGCTGGTGATCCGCAGAAGTAGCCTGCAGTACTGCACTCTAACCACTGCACCACTGCGGCTCTTATCTAATGCTCCAGTTCTGAACATAAGTGGGGATCTAGAATGACAGGGACATCATGACCATGTATTCTTTCTCCTTACTCAGGGCTCTGGGGCTTGGTAAACAATGCAGGTAAAAGTACACCCCTAGCTCACAATGAATGGCTGAGAAAGGAGGACTTCGCCGAAGTGCTGGATGTCAACTTGCTTGGGCTGATTGATGTGACGTTGCAGATGTTGCCCCTGGTGAGGAGAGCCAGAGGGAGAGTGGTCAATGTAAGCAGTGTGATGGGAAGATTAGCATGCTTTGGAGGAGGGTATTGCCTATCCAAGTATGGTGTGGAAGCCTTCTCAGATGTTTTGAGGTAAGCTTTAACTTTCTCTTTTGATTAGTTGAAGTGCATGGATCTCTTTTCAGCTCCATTTGAAAGATGACGTCAGGGTTCCAAGTAACACCCCCAACGAAAGAAAACTCCGAGGCTTGGATTTCCTCAAAGTTACTTTTTATTAGAGAAGTCATATTGGCACATCTGGGAAAACCCAAATCTGAAAGTTTCCAGGTTTTCCCCACCCAAGTGAAAGTTCAAGTCCCTGCTCAGCACCCTCATGTCCATCACATGGTCCAATCATTCACCGTCCAAACTGAAGACACCTCCTAGTCTTCCGACTCCAGGTGCCAGGGCAATGCATCCTTGACTCTCTGAGAAAGGAATGTTATTTTGACTACATATTATCTACACTCTATGCAATCCCCCCTCCCATTTTTCCACAGAAGAAGATGTGGCAGGCCTGAAGGCCAAACATAAAAGACGGCTTCCAGGTCTGATAGAAGTAGATGCACAGATTCCAATAGTCTGAGCTACAATGATTTCTGTAAAATATGGTTGTGTCTGTTAAGGATTGTCTCAAAGATCTGAACATGTACTTACTTTGCTTGAGATAAAAGTGGTGCTGGAGGAACAATCTTTTGGTAGGCGGGCAATATCCAAGTTGCAATAGCAATAGCACTTAGACTTATACACCACTTCATAGGGCTTTACAGCCCTCTCTAAGTGGTTTACAATAGTAAATAAAAACAATTTAAATGGAGGAATAGGGGAAATAGGAATGAACAAGTTGTCTAGGCATAGCTGAGCCCTCAACATTGGAATAGTGTGCTGTCCAAATAGTAGTAAATGGGACCAGTAGAAAAATTAGATGTGTTTTTACTTTATTTATTTTAAAGCTAATTAAAATGAAATGTGGAAATAAAGACTATTCAGGCATGCCTTTAGCATTTTTGCCTGTTACATCAAAATTATAATTTAGCACTTGATTTGGGAAACTTCCTGGGACCACAGTTAAGGGTTTCATAGGGCCTTATCTTCTGCACTTTTGCCCTAAACCTTACTTTGCATGCTGTGGTTTGTTGAATAAGTTATAATTTAACATGCTAAAATCATAAAATATTTATTTTAAACAGAAATAGCTTGGTTCATGGAACATGCTGAGCCAAAAAACAAAATAAGCTATATTATCTGATCAATTAAATGCAAGGAGATAATTTGAGTTTTAAGTCTAGATGCTACCGCATAGTGGTCATTCTGATTTGTACAATCTGGAGCTATTAGCCCTATTCTTGGAGGTCTTTCTATTTTGGTTGTGCTGGTTGAAAACCAAAATAAATTATGACAAGCTTTAAATGAGGTTCTAGGGATCAAGACCTCCAGGAGGAAAGGAAATATACAGAGACCATTCTGTTGTGGAAAAGGTTAAACTGAGTACAGGTACCCAATGTACGATCACAATTGAGCCCCAAATTTATGTTGCTAAGTGAGAAATTTGTTAAGTGAATTTTGGTCCATTTTACGACATTCCTTGCCACATTTGTTAAGTGAATCACTGCAGTTGTTAAATTAGTAACACAGTTGTTAAGTGAATCTGATTCCTCATTGACTGCTTGTCAGAAAGTTGTAAAAGGGGATCACACGGCCCTGGGACACTGCAACCGTCATAAATACAAGCCAATTGCCAAGCTTTTGAATTTTGATCACGTGACCATGGGGATGCTACAATGGTCATAAGTGTGTAAAATGGTAATAAGTCACTTTTTTCAGTGCCATTGTACTGTTGTAAGTCGAGGACTACCTGTATTACTCTATTGCATTGATGTCGTTTTTCATTGTATCCTTATTTATGTTGTGCTTGTGGTATCTTGCCCAAAATCTAACAACTGAGGCAGGTTACATATATTGTTACATTAATCAATAAAAGCATTTCATCTTTGCAATTGTTGCCAATAGAAACACTAACAGAGCATCCTGCAAATGCTTTCTGATAGAGGCCCTGTTTTTCATTTCCGCAACCAGCTTTGGAGAGGCTCTGAATATGAAATTCCCTGATGTGACAAGACATTTAATATTAAAATATGCTGACAGAGCTGGCTCCCTCAGCTAAGAAATGGAGATAGGCACTGCCCCCTAGATTCTATTACTGAACAAGGGAAACCTTTACCTTCACCTCTTATTTATAGCCTGTTTAATCAGTTAAATTAAAAGACAGAACGATAAGTTCTGCTTCCCCATGAAATGTTGGTTTCATATTATTTATTTATTTATTTGATTTTTATCCCACCTTTATTATTGTTTATAAACAACTCAAGGCAGTAATCATACCTAATACCTTCCCTCCTTCTATTTTCTCCATAACAATAACCCTGTGAGATGGGACAGACTGAGAAAAACTGACTGGCCCAAAGCCACCCAGATAGTTTTTCATGTCTAAGGCAGGACTAGAACTCACTTAAGCCAGCACCTTAATCACTAGACCAAAATGGCTCTCTTTCTGAAAAGAGGAGCCTTAATGCCTCTACAACTACTCTACAACAATTTTTCACGAAAAAATGGTAATGTCCTTGTCCCATATTTATAAAATGCTGACAGCTTTGATTAAATTCAAGATATTTTTGTTTGTTGCCTTTGAGAAAGGAAGCTGTTTATCAGCTTCAAAATTAATCAATTTCTTTGTTGCCCACTTCCTATTTAAGGTGGCTTTTAAAGTGGTCACATCTTTTTTCTAGCTTACACAGAAGTCTGAAAGATGGCAGGCTTGCTTTAATGAGTAACAGAGAGGGCCTGGCCTTGAGGTTCTTACCATTTTTGTAGTGTTATAAACGCCTAAATAATAGGAAAATAGCAGTGGAGCTCATTGGTTACTGGAGGAATTGTTTGTTTACTTATTTATTACATTTATATTTTATGAAATTTACAGTATGTATTGCCCATCTCGCTGTCAAGCAATTCTGGGCAGTTTACAACTTCAATGGAATGAATCATTTTCTGGTAGGGTTGAATTTGAAGAGAAAAATGTTCAATTAGATTCCCATTTTTTGTCTTCATTTTATCTCAATGAATCTATCAATGTCCAATCAGAACATCAATAGATCTTCTTTTTTCACCTCTGCCAGCTAACATTTGTCCCTTCCTGCTATACTCTGAAAGCTGGAAAACCCAATTCCTTCTCATTTCCTCCCTCCCAATTGGTAGGAAAGCTGCAGCATTAATCTCATACCCAGAAAAGACACCCACTGCCAAATTGTATGTTAGCTGGCAAAGGATTCCTAAAGAATGCAGATGCCCTTAGCAGATAAAAATGATAGAGGCTTTCTGTCCTTCTATCTATATAGTGAATATAGAAGATGGCCTTGAAGAATAGAGGAAAGGTCTATTAACCTGGCAACAATCGGATAAATGAGCCCAGACCAAAAAACAAACACCGTGTAGATCCAAAGCTACTTTTATTAAAACAGCTGTAGTAACAGAATCTTGCAAGCCTGAATGTGGTTCCCTTCCTCCCTTCTCATTTATCTTCATGTGAATTGGGGTACGAGTTGCTCTCTGAGGTGTTTTGTAAACTCCTTTCTTGATCTGGCTCAAGTATCGTTTATCTGATCATTGGCTTAGTAACAGATCTTCCCTCTGTCTTTCAGAGCCATCCTCTGGGCTCACTACAGTTCATGAATTGCAACAATAGTCTTGAAGTGGCCAGGACAGCCTGCTGTTTTTATCTCTGCCTACTCAGAGTGATAAACTTGAACCCAGACCCCACCCCTCCTCTACCAGCTCTGAGGAGGCACTCAGAGAGCCTCGCCTCAATATTGAACCCCTGCCACACACACCATAGGCTCATTCCCTCCTTTCCTTCTCTGGCATTGGGTTTCTGCAAATGCTGCATTCCCTTCCTACCTCTTGGAGGAGTCACGGTGGGGGGGGGGCTTCACTTTAATAAGAATTAATATTGGGATGAACAGTAGGCATAAGGAAGACTCTGCTAGCATTCATCATTCCTCTAAGGAACAAATCCACAGAGGCACTGGAGAGGTATACCTAACCACTTTTTTCAAAAGCAGCAGATGACCAATGGAACTCTTCCAGATTTTTTTCAATATGAAAAATGCCGGCTGTATTTTGTCACATGATCATTCCAAGAAGCATCAGTGAATGAAAGGAGAAACTGCAAAGAGATTGGTGTTACTATAAAGCTGGATGCCATTCCTTAATTGTTCCGTATATTTTAAAAAAGGACATGCATTTGCTGTCCAGTCTGGGAAAAGTTACTTTTGGACTCTTTTTTTTTCTCATCCTCACATCTGCCAGACACAAAAAATCCTTTATAGCCTTGGACAGTAGAGTGAAATAAATAAGTAAACAGATATCTTACTCTATCAAACAAATGTATGTTTAAACATACATATGGATACAAAACTGATACCAACATGACATATTTTAACTAAAGAGAAAAATAAAAGATCTATAGAAATGTTTATCTTAAATTAAACAACTTCCCAAAGTTTACCAATTTGTTTGAAAGTGCTTTTCCTTTCCCCCTTATTGAAAAAAAATATAGAAATTGAGCAAGAAAAGATAATTGTGTTGCAGATTTATTCTATGTTCTGTAATGAGTCTTTGGCTATTTCCTCATATGCAAAAAGTCTACACTTGGAATTTAGCATTCAAAATAGATTTTTGCAGATTTGTATATTCTTCATTCTGCATCTCCTTCCTTTTTATTCTATTCAGGCGTGAAATTTCTCCATTTGGAATGAAGGTCAGCATGGTTGAACCTGGTGCATTCAGTACAGGCATTCTCCAATTTACATTAGAGAGCTTCCAGACTTCATGGAACAAAGCACCCTCTGAAACTAAAGAAGTCTATGGACAACTATACTTTGATAACTGTGAGTTGAAATTTGGGCAACTGGGCTCTAGATTGCATATATATTTGGTTGTGGGTGGGTGTACCAAAAATGCAGAACCCACAACAGTTCAAAAAACCATGGAGGACTTGAAAAATATATATTCCATAAAACTAGTTAAGAAGCTCATTATCTGTCTTACATGAGAAAACAAGATAGTAATGTGAAACTTGACTCCACACTGCTAATTATAAGCATTGACATATGTCAGGTCCAAGCCCAGAGATGACAGGGCAGAATCTGAATTCCATCCTTTAATTGCTTACACCTAATGGACAGAATCTTGTCAATTTAATGCTATAAACTTCTAACTCAGGGGTCCCAAACCCCCAGCCTTCAGCCCATTCGGAAGTGGGCCATGTGAGCAGCAGGCGAGTGCATGCATACATGCAGCTCCACTTGCGTGAGCAGAGAACCACCACCACCCTAAGTGGGCCACCATGGCCCGTTCAGAATCAGGCTGCATGAGTGGAGGGCAAGTGTGCACGTGCACAAGCTCCATTTGCCCAAGTGTGCGAGCAGCGGGCACTTGTGCACAAGGCTCCATTTGTGCAAATGGAGATGTATCTGCCGCTCACACAGAACCATCCCCCCACCCATCGGGCTACCAAACTGGAAAGGTTGGGGACCGCTGTTATAATCTACTACCGTGTTTCTCCGAAAATACAACCTACCCCGAAAGTAAGTCCTACCTTGATTTTACACATACACCCAATATAAGGCCTACCCCCCCTCCAAATAAGCCCTGATTAACACCCGGGCTCCGGTGTTACACATACACCCAATATAAGGCGTACCCGCCCCTCCAAATAAGCCCTGATTAACACTCCGGGATGCATGGGCTGGGGCAAGGCGCATGGGTAAAAATTAAGCTAGGGTGAGGATGTGGGGTAGAGCTACCCTACTTACCAGGCCTCAAACACCCTGACACCTGCCTTGCCAGCCCACTTTTTTTGTGGCCACTTGTGCGCGCCGTCCCCAATTGCCGTTTCGTTGTCAGAGGCCTTCAGGAAAGGCCTCTGCAGCCAAGATATGGGCTCCGGATTGACATGTGCCTTGCACCCAGCCTCTGTTTCTCCTTCAGAGGCGAAATGGAGGCCAGGGGCAACGTGTGCATCAATCTGGACCTTGTTTCTTGGCTGCAGAGGCCTTTTCGGAAGGCCTCTGATGGCAAAACAAGGCCGGGGTACCACGCACGTCAATCTGGAGCCCGTTTCTTGGCTGCAAAGGCCTTTCCTGAAGGCCTCTGACAGCGAAACAGAGGATGGGGGCAACTCGCGCAATCGGTGACAAGTAGCCGCAGAAGTGGGCCGGCAGTGGGCTGCTCCTAGGTGGGGTTGTCGGTGCCGCCACTGCAAGGTGAATCAGTGCAAGACACTGCCGCTGAAAATAAGACCTAGTGCCTTTTTTGGTGGCAAAAAAAATTATAAAGCCGGGTCTTATTTTCGGGGAAACATGGTAGCTGTATTGTGAGAGATTCTACGGATGGCTATCTGAACACCTTCTCCCCCATCTCCACATCCAGCTCAAGATGCAGTTTCTTGAATTATCAAATGGTTCAAGTGGCTAGTAAGTCATTGTAGAATTTACTCTGTCTTTTTTTTTTTTCATACAGTTTTGAAGTCCTTAAAAATCCTCTTGAAAAACAGCAACAAGAACCTCTTCTTGGTCACTGATTGCATAGAACATGCCCTGACCTCCTGCTACCCTCGTGCTCGCTACAGTGGTGGCTTGGATGCCAAACTCTTCTACCTTCCAGTGTCTTACTTGCCCAGCTGGGTATCAGACTTCATAGTAACCTACTCTTGGCCAAAACCAGCACAAGCAGTGTCAGGATGAACCTCCAAACCATAGTTTCCTGTTAAGGGTTTAATATCCTAATACAAGTGGTCCTCGATTTGCAACAGTTCATTTAGTGACTGTTTGAAGTTACAATGGCACTGAAAAATAGTGACTTATGGCCATTTTTCCCACTTAACAGCATCCCCACGGTCACATGATCAAAATTCATACGCTTGGCAACTGGCTCATATTTACGATGGTTGCAGCGTGATTCCCTTTTGCAACCGTCTGACAAAATCAATGGGAAAGCCAGATTCCCTTAACAATCGGCATTACTAACTTAACAATTGCAGTGATTCACTTAATAACTGTGGCAGGAAAGGTCGTAAAATGGGGCAAAATTCACTTATCAACTGTCTCGCATAGCAATGGAAATAGAATAGAATAGAGCTGGAAGGGACCTTGGAAGTCCTCTAGTCCAGCCCCCTGCTCTACCATTTCAATGTTGGACTCAATTGAGGTCATAAGTCGAGGACTACCTGTATAATGCAGAATAATCAATATCTAGAAAAAGAGCCAATAATATTTCATCAGCTCTGAACTGTTGGGTCATACATCTTAAGCTGCCTTGCAACACTAATTGACTTGAGTGGTCTTGTAGAAATAATAACAAGGTACACTTTGTGCAGCCGTATGACCTGGCCTAGAAAGGCTTATGAATTCTACAGAATCCTAGCAACAATTTCTAGAAAAGCAATAAACCACCGCACATTTCCGATGACATTTTTGATCAGTGCTTTTGTTTGTAAAAATGAATTTAAAGAAAGCTTCGAAAAATAATTTTCTGGAACAAAATTATATTTGAAATGATAAACCTGAATTGTGCTTTGCCTAAATATGTTTTAATCCTACCTAGTAGGAATGGCAGCGGAACGTCCGTACCGTATGGGATAAGAATTGGATTTCATCTTGCAATCTTTTTCAAACAACATCGTACAACAAAGCTGGATCCAACAACTATCATCCCCTGTCCATTGGGTGGGCCGATAAGATGGACTGTGTTCTGCCCCAGCTACGGACCCCAAAAAATGCAGCACACACACAGTCCATTCAAACCTTAATTTACATGCCAGTGGCCAAATGCCCAAATCACTATCACATTGGCATGGGGAACACTACAATGGTCATAAGTGTGAGAAGCCATCCAATCATTCTTTTTAGCTCATCATAATTTCAAACAGTTGCTAAATGAATGTAGCTTTCTTAAGAACACCCTGGGACACTTTGGCATGTGGCAATACTTTGGAAGGCTATGAAGACGGTGCTGTTGCTCCCGTTTGATGTGGAAAGCCCCAATTAGGAAAGCAGTAATGATGGGGTTTTAATTTTGGGTTTTAACTCATGTAGGAATTACATTTTTATCACTGTAAGATGCTTAAGATTCTTGCAAAAGTAGGCAGTATACAAATGACTATAAACATATTACTGTTGGAAGCCATCTTGTATTATGTACTGGTAGTGATCCAATGTCTTATTTGCACAACACACAAGACATACTACTGTTGCTTAATTTAGCATGTTTTACAAATTAACCCTAGGTTTTGTTTCAGTCTAATCTGCCTGATACGTTTCCTATTTAAAGCATTAGTATAAAACTCTTCATTATAGTCTACAAGTTTAAGTCATAAAAGAACCCTTTCATACTTGAGTCCCAACGTAAAGACTCTTCTCTTTCCTCCTGGCCAGATCCGCCGCCTGAAACATGGTACACTTTTTTTTTGTCTCTGCACACACCCCATGTTTGGAATCGGGAAGGGGATCGCGGGTTCGGCCGGCAGACCCGCGATCCCCTTCCTGATTCCAAACATGGGGTGTGTGCAGAGACAAAAAAAAATACCATGTTTCAGGCAGCGGATCTGGCCAGGAGGAAAGAAGTTAAGTTGCTGAGAAGGAGGACGGGGGCGCGTGGCTCTGCAATGTGCAGAAAAACACTTAGGTGTCAGTGCTACAATCTCCCTGAATCCAAAGCACTTCCCAGTTCCCTGCTGCACATTGCAGGGGAACTGGCCGCCACCTGAAGCGCGACTCTTGAGGTTTGCATTTTGGAATCCGGGCAGCGATGGCTGGAAAGGAGGAACGTTTCCCTTTAGGGGCTCCCATTCAGCTCGGCTTGGCTCCTGGGTGCAGAGAGAGTTAGGCAGCGGTGGTGGCGGCTCACATTGCTGGGGAGTGAAGTCAGCACGGCCAGAGGGGTGACCAGCCGCAAATTGTGGCACCCGCTTTGTTCCCCAAAGCTGCTGGGCAGATTCCCCCCCACACACACACTGTCCCGAAGAGGGAGGGTTGTTCCTCAGGCTGTCCCTCCCCCCAGAGCATGCTAGGGGTCTCTGGGGGAAAGCGAGTAGTCCCTGCACCTCTCGCTTGCAGGAGGAAGAGGAGGGCGGCACCATCTTAAATGCTGGTAGGCAGAGATAAAAAGTTTTTTCCTTGTTTTCCTCCCCCAAAATTAAGGTGCGTCTTATACTCCGGTGCGTCTTATACACCGAAAAATACGGTAAATATTTTAGGTACAGATTAGGCAAAACAAAGCATGGGTGATGATGGATTTATTTCAAGTCTGTTGTTGAGCTCATATTGGTACAGATACATCCAGGAATGCACCAGGCCTCAACGAGAGAAAGCACAGCAAATAAAAACATTCCGTAACATATACCAGGAAAAAAAAAAAATTCCCAGAAGGCTGGTCAGTTTAATCAGACATCGGAGAGACAGAGAATGGAGGTAAAAGACATGTGCAAATTACAAAAGTCAAACCTGCCAATTGCACAGTTCTGAAGCTAACCCCATTGCTTCAAGACCTTTGGAGAGTTGCTTTTTTAATGCCACCGTGGCAGTGTGACTTAAATCACCTGTTCCAGGGCTTCAGTAGGATTTGACGCAGATGTGAAAACCTCCTCGGTGCCTGCATTCATACAGTGTGGTGTAAAGCCAAATGCTAGTTAAGAGCCGCAGTACCCTGTGATTTGCATGAAGCCCTCAGTTGAATGTTGAAGTAGTAATGAAACAAAAGACAGCTTTACAGGAGCTGGCATTGCAATGCACAGGTAGTTCTTGATTTATGGCCAATTGCTTAGTAACTCTTTGAATTTACGATGGACCTCTCAAAATTGATTTGCAATCCAGTCTTGAATTTCTAATGTTTCCCCTCCCCTGCAATCACATGACTACATTTTGTATGTTGGGCAACCGGTCTGCATTTACAGCCATTTGCAGTGTCCTGAAGTACATATGGTTTTGCTAGCAAGTGGCATTTAATTCCACTTTCTGGTAAAAACTCAGCCCTAGCCGCCAAAAATGTTCTATAGGTAGTCCTTGACTTACAATAATTTCTTTAGTGACCATTCAAAGTTACAAGGCCACAGAAAAAGTGATTTATGACCAGTTTTCACACTTATGACCATTGCATCATCCCCATAGTTACATGATCAAAATCCAGATGCTTGGCAATTGGCAGGCTTTTATAAACAATTTTACTGGCCTGGGATCATATGATCATCTTTATAACTTTTCCAGCAAGCTTCCAACAAGCAAAGTCAAAGGGGCAAACCAGGTTCATTTACAACCACATGATTCACTAAAAACCACATGATTGACAAAAAAAGGTTGTAAAACGGGGTGCAACTCACTTAACTGCCTCACTTAGCAATGCAAATGTTGTGCTCAGTTGTGGTCATAAGTGGAGGATTACCTGTAAAAATCACACCAATCAGAGGTGTGTTTAGAAACAAAACAATCTCCCACCACCACCCAACTCTTTGTTTAAGGTAGTCTTAATGTAGAAATGAGTCCTTCCTACCCCAGTCACCTCTAGAGAAACCTTTTTTTTTTAAACTTTAAAAAGAATGAATATCTCTTGGCACTCATTAATAGGTGAGCTGAGCCTCTTTGCTGCATATATATGATGGCTGTCCAACCTTCTGACTTGCCTGGGTTGCACTGAGTGAAGAGGAATTGTCTTGGCTGCATATAAAGAAGTATATAGTATAGTCTATTTATATATCCAACCCATGCAAGCTATGGGTTGGACATAACCTCATCTACAACAACAATACAGGTAGTCCTCGAGTTATGACCACAATGGAACCTAACCATTAAGGTCAGAAGTCGGGACAAGCATTAAATGAAATATCTCATGTAACAACCAGCCATCCCTGCTCTCCCCAACGCAATCATTAAATGAACGTGTGGGACGTTAAGTGAGCATGGGGTGCCTCAGGGGTGGGGAAAGGTTTTGGGAGACCTAGCACAGGCACAAACCCACCTGTCTCATGACTCACAAGGCTTCCCTCACCCCCTGAGATACCCCATGTTCCACTTCCTGCCCCTTGAGGTCCCAATGCTGCTCCTCACCTCCATTAATGTTTACCTTTTACCATGGACCACCTTCTGAAAGCTCTGTGGCATTGGGAATGAGACCAAGCTGCTACATCCCCTCCATGTCCCTAGTCCACATGGCTGCGGCCCAGAAGAAAGTGTTGTGGCTCCGACCCCTGAGCCCATCTTATCAGAGGAAGAAGGCTCTGAACATGAAGGAGAGGAGCCGGCCAGGCCTCCCTCTCCAGGCCCCTCCTCTCTGGCTATGCCTCAGGTGTCTGCCGAGGGAGAGGAGATTGGCCAGGAGCCAGGTGTCTCCGATGACAGCGATGATGATATGTCGTTCCTGGATCCACGCCAACGAAGGCGAGATAAACGTTTGCAGCAGATGAGGAGGCGTGCCAGGGATTAAGCTGAGTCACCGGACCACACCCCACAGGCTATATAAGAGAGAGTGGTGGCCATTTAGACTCTGTGACGGACAAAGCTAACTTCAGCTAACTTCTGGCTCGTCACTTTGTACAACACCTGAATCTGCTGAAGGTTTCTGTTTGAGCTGGACTGTTTTTGAAAACTGTGTGTATTTGTCGGTGTTTATCTGGTGGAGGAAAACTCCCTCTTCTTGAAGTAAAGCACTTGGCAGACGGTTATCGTATTGTTGCCAAGTTCCTGATAACGAACCTGGTGTGTGCCAAGTAATTCTTTAACCCCCGGCTGGCTGTTTGTGTGTGTGTGGGGACGGGGACAGAACAGAAAGTGCCATTTTCAGACTGGCCATAATGAATTGTGGGCCCTTCAAAATGGTTCTTGTTTTCAGAAGGGAAAGAAGAATGCTACCACACAGGCCCACCATACAGCTTGTACGGTCTTGCCAGCCAGAAACAATGGGGAAGGAAAATGCTGGGCCCACCTGCCTTTGCTGGTTCTGCTGCTCCCCTTCCTCTTGCCTTTCTAATCTTGTGGCTTGAGGAAACATTGGTCTTTGCTGGAATGAATCCCCTTCAATGGAAGAAACGTCTCTCTCTCTGTGTGTTATCTGGTCAGCTAAAATCTAGGAACAGCAGAGACAAACAGTAGTGAAATGTCATTGCTGCTTCTCGAGTCTTTCCTGCATGACATCCCAGATTCTTGCAGTCAAATCCCATTGGCTCATTGCTGGATTCCAATAACTATTCTCACATGTTAAATGAATGAAACACAACTGTGTGTTCAAGCAACACCTGCTCCTAAAGAAAGTGATAGGGCTGGGCAATGTCCAAGGATGAGAGGCCCAAAGAGAAAACATCTAAAAGCAAAATGAAGATTCCTCCACCCCCGCCACACACACAAATGGGGTTTCTCTGGCTGTATCATTTCTTACACCTAGGTCTGAGCAAGCATACCTGCTACTCACTACAGTGACCAAAAAATAAAAGCTTTATATTCATTAAAGAGCAGTATATATTTTTAAAAAATTAACTGTCAAAAACAAGGAAAGAAATATGGTTAATGGGTAAGATTTACAGAATAAACTCAAGAAGGGCAGGCAGCTGATTTGGATCTATCCCAGGGGTGGGTTCTACTTACCTGTATTACCGGTTCGCAACGGGATCCCTCCCATGCGCAAATCACCTATGATGACATCCAGGGCGGTGGGCGGAGCCTCCCACCGGTTATACTACCGATTCTTGCAAACCGGTCCGAACCAGGAGTAACCCACTACTGGTCTAGCCCACACATAGGCCATGCTAGCAGAGCCAGGTTCCAGACTCGCCGAAATGGAAAAGTTGCTCAGACAAGAACTGAACTCAGCCAACCCAGACAATGTGAGTTATCTAGAGCAGCGATCCCCAACCCTTTGGGCACCAGGGACTGGTTCCATGGAGAGGTTTTTTTCCCCAAGGTTTTGCATGTGGCCTGCATCCTGGGGCTTTGCTCCTTTGCACGGCCCTGTTTCTGGCATGCTGCAGTCCACAGACCAGGGGCTGGGGACTCCTGATCTAGGGAGAAAGCCTCGTAAAATCATGAAGGTGCCATTGTACCTTTGGAGCCAACTGATTGTTGCTGCTGATAAAGTGGCACAGGTCTCTCTTCAAAGCTATTGGACCTGCCAGCCCAGGTTCCATCCTGCATGATCAACAGCCAGCGAGTTGTCATCCCAGAGGACTCAACTTAAACAATCTACAGCTTATCTATATACCTAACATCAAAAGCTCTATCCAGAACCACTGGAAACAAGGCTGTGGGTGTTTAGCATGGATAGCCCCAAAGCAGGGGTGGGGTTCACTTACCTTTGCTACTGGTTCGTGCACGCGTGTACCGTTTCTGCGCATGCACAGAAGCTTAAAGTGCTAGTGGCTAAAAAATTGGGCAATGAAGATAATCACAATGTTCTAAGACTAAGCAACCAATGATCTTGAGATAAATCTGATCTGATGAAATATTATCTCATGTTCTACTCTGGAACAGGATAGGTTACTTTATTTCACCTGTACCTGGATTTAAGGACATCTAGTTTCTCCATTCTCTCTCATTCTCTCAAACAGGGTTCAGCTATGTGGCTCTTTCTGGCTGCCCTGGTGGGCCTTTGGTTCCTTTGTCGATGGTACCTGGAAAGACAAATGGTGGAGAACCTGACGGAGAAATACGTCTTCATCACGGGCTGTGATTCTGGCTTTGGGAAACAGCTGGCCAGGCAGCTGGATGCTCGGGGTCTGCAGGTGTTGGCCTCTTGTCTCACTCCAGAAGGGGCAGAAGAGCTGGAAAAGGTCACATCGGACCGGTTAAAGACCACTCTGCTGGATGTCACCAACACTCAGAATGTTGCAGCAACAACTGAGTGGGTGAAAACCTGCGTGGGGAACAAAGGTGATCGACTCGGTTTATTATCCTATGTGCTATTTTTTGCAGGAACTGTGGAAAAAATGGGCTTGTTTCAAGCCATCGGGTTTTTCCTCTCTAGGAGAAATAATACATTTTCTCATTAAGTATTATTGATTTCATTAATTAGTCAGATGCATATTTAAACCAAACTGTTGATTTATTAATTCTGTACTGGTTTAGTTTGTTTCTTAAATTGAGATTATACATATAGGGGTTTTTTCCCCTAATCATTTGGGCAATAAGAAGAGACATAGAAATAAGAACTCTCTCATGAAGGAAATATCCTTGCGTTTGTGTGGATTTAGCACACAGAGACAAAAAAAATATCTTGAGGGTTGCAAATTCTTTCTAACGCTTCTCAGATATTTATAGGATATAGAACCGTGATGGCGAACCTATGGCACACGTGCCACAGGTGGCACGCTGAGCCATATCGGTGGGCACGTGAGCGTTGCCCTAGCTCAGCTATGGCGTGCATGCGCAAGCCAGCCAGCTGATTTTCGGGCCTTCTGGGCCCACCGGAAGTTGGGAAATGGGTCGTTTCTGGCCTCTGGCGGGCCTCCGGGAGGGTGGGGAAGGCCATTTTCGCCCTCCCCAGGCTCCAAGAAAGCCTCTGGAGCCTGGGGAGGGCAAAAAATGGGCCTATGGGCCCACTGTGCCATCACGTGCCAAAAGTGGGGGGAGTGCAGGGGGGTCATGAACGCATGCGTGGGGGGCAGGGCGCATTGAATTATGGGTGTGGGCACATGTGCGTGCGACCCCCGCTTTTGGCATGCGATGGCAAAAAGGTTAGCCATCACTGATATAGAATGTGCTACTTAAGAGCTTCGGACTTAAGACAAGATATACAGAATCCATAGACAACAGAATTCATTAAACTCACATTCAAAATCAGCTAAGCCGTATGCTGATTAGTATAGTATATAATATAGGGGACTGATAATGAGCAAATTCTGTCTCCAACTAATCCAGCAAGGGGAATAGAGGTGGTGGCAATGAAGCAACACAGAGACCAATTCTCAACTCATGCCTGGCAGCAGCTGGAAGTAGCCCAGGTAGGCAATAGACAGAAACCGTGCTAAAGAAGCTTTCCAGAATGGGGCAGTTGTGATTGGCATGTCCATAGTAATAACAATCATCCCTACAGACCCTGGTGCTTCAAACCCATGTACACCTCAAGGAGGAGCTAAATCACCACGCTGCCTTGCATAAACAATCAAAAAAGTGCAGCTGCCTGAGACAGGCCCTGCCTTCATCTTCTCAGAGGGCATAAATACAATGGAACAATAAAAAGTATAGCCACATGAAAAATCAGCAGAATCCATGCAAATTCTGAAGGGCACCCATTTGTGAAAATGCAGATGCCTCCCTACCATAGCAGAAACCCAAGGTTGAGGGAGTTGAGAAACGTGTGTCATGGTGGCCTCATTTAAAATGATCACTCTTCCTAAATTGATTGTTTTATTACAACTTGCACATTAACAATATGATGGCAAGAATCAAAAGACTGAATTTTCACGAGACATATTATATATTTACATGATGGCAGAGAGGAAAAGTAAAAAAAAGTTTTTAAAAAGCATTGCTTACTTGTTTTTAATAGCTGACTTATTAACCTTTAGGGGCAAAGTCAATGGTGATGGGAGTAGATTTTGGAAATAAAGGAGCTAGGGGACAGATTGAATCTCTTTTGTGCCCCCATGCAATGATTTACATTAAAAGGTTGTATGCTCCTATACAATAATTTATAATGAAAAGGTCCAATACATATTAATTAAAATAACATGTGATTTGATCATGATATTATAGGAAACAAACCATAAAAGGAAAAGAATAGAAACAGCAAGTTGTAAAGTGGATCAAACTTGTATCTCCTATTTTTAATTTATCTTATGAAATATGGACTTAAGGATTTAAGTTAAGAATGACTTGGCAAGGTAGCAAGAACACTTAGCACTTATATACTGCTTCACAGTGCTTTACAGCCCTTCTAAGCAGTCTACAGAATCAGTATATTGCCTCCAACAGTCTGGCTCCTCATTTTACTGACCTCAGAAGGATGGAAGGCTGAGTCAACCTTGAACCGGTGAGGATTGAATCCCTGGCAGTCAGCAGTGTTAGCCTGCAACACTGCATTCTAACCACTGCGCCACAGCAGCTCACTATATGCAGAGTAGCATCTGAAGGCAGAACAAGAAGCAATGGATGGAAAACAATCAAGGAGAAAACCAACCAGTAAGGAGAAATTTCCTGTATGTTAGAACAATTAATCAGTGAAGTGGCTTGTCTTCAGAAGTTGTGGTTGCACAATCACTGGAAGTTTATAAGAAGCGGTTCAACAACAGTTTGTCTGAAATGGTATAGGGTTTCACTCTTAAGCAGGGGGTTGAACTAGAAGACCTCCAGAGTCCCTTCCAACTCTGTTATTCTTTTAAGCAAATCGCATGAAAACAGGAAACAGACATTTTAAAGCCAAATGACCATGATTTGGGACTGGTAGTCAAAAAGTACTAATTAGTGGTGGGATTCAAATAATTTAATAACCAGTTCTCTCCCCTAATAACCAGATGGGTAGGCATGGCTGGGTGATCATGTGACTGAGTGGGCGTGGCCAACTTGACATCATTCAATCCCTGACCTGGCAGGGATTACGGAGACCTGGTTAGGCCAGGAGGGAGGAGTTCCCCTTGTGGAAATGTGCCCGCCAGGTTTCCGTGCATTCCATCAGCCAAGGGCTCAGGGAAGGGGTGGGGGAGTGGCAGCAATCTTTAGAGAAAGTCTTTGCCCGAGGGAGGCCACTGTTCCTCAGATAGCCGGATGTGAGTCCCTCCTTGTGAAGTGGGGTCAGGGGATTCAGATGGGCCTACTGATTGCGTACCTGGCTCCCTGCCACGTAACAACGGTCCTGCCTGAGCTGCTCGACATTATAGCCGGGGTGGCGGTGGAAACCCCCAGACTTATTGTTATGGGGGATTTTAACCTGCCATCTGCTGGTGAGATGTCGGAGACGGTTCGGGAGTTCATGGCTTCCATGACGGCTATGGGCCTGACCCAGGTAGTTCAAGGCCCCACCCACTTGGGGAATCACACTCTGGACTTGATTTTTGTCTCTGATCAGTGGCTGAATGATCTAAGAATAGGGGATATAGACATCAACCCCTTGTCATGGTCTGATCATTCTCTCCTTCACATGGACTTTCAAGTCACTTCCACCCACCGCAGGGAGATGGAACCAACCAAATGGTTCCGTCCCAGGTGCCTGATGGACCCCGAAAGGTTCCTGATGGAGCTTGGGCCATTTCCTGAGACTCTGGCTCACGACTCGACTGAGGACCAGGTGGTCGCCTGGGACAGGGCGGCTACTGGGGCCTTGGACCGCGTCGTGCCTTTGCGGCCTCTGACCCGATGCCAATCTCGTCTAGCTCCTTGGTTTTCCGAGGAGCTGAGAGAGATGAAGCGTCGGAAAAGACGCCTGGAGAGCGATTGGAGGACAAGCCGATCTGAATCTGACCGAACACAGGTGAGATCTTATATTAAGACCTACCTAGTGGCGATAAGAGCGGCGAAGTCTAGCTACTTCTCCGCTCTTATTGCATCTGCAGAGAACTGCCCAGCTGCGCTGTTTAGGGTGACCCGCTCCCTACTTCAGGTGGGGGTACGGGAAGATCCCTTAAAGGGTCGAGCTGAGGATTTTGTACAATTCCTGCATGATAAAGTCGCTCAGATTCGGGAAGGCCTGGACTCCGATTGGGTAGATCCAGGGGAGGAGACGGGGGCAGGTCTTGAGAGCGTTATCTGGGAAGAGTTTGACTCTGTGGCTCCTGAGGACGTGGACAGGATTCTGGGCAAGCTTAATGCTGCCACATGTTTATTGGACCCGTGTCCCTCCTGGTTGGTACTGGCCTCCCGGGAGGTTACACGAGGCTGGCTCCAGGGGATTATAAATGCTTCTCTGAGTGAGGGTGTCTTTCCCGCCGCCTTGAAAGAGGCGGTTGTGAAGCCCCTCCTCAAGAAGCCTTCCCTGGACCCGGCTATATTATCAAATTATCGTCCAGTCTCCAATCTTCGCTTTGTTGTGAAGGTTGTTGAGAGTGTGGTGGCGTGACAACTACCCCGATACCTGGATGAAGTTGTCTATCTGGATCCGTTCCAGTCGGGCTTCAGGTCATGATACAGCACAGAAACGGCATTGGTCGCATTGGTGGATGATCTCTGGAGGGCTCGGGACAGAGGTTGCTCCTCTATCCTGGTCCTATTAGATCTCTCAGCAGCTTTTGATACCATCGACCATGGTATCTTACTGCACCGGCTGGAGGGGTTAGGAATAGGGGGCACCATGCTTCGGTGGTTCTCCTCCTTCCTCTCTGACCGTTCGCAGTTTGTGTTGGCAGGGGGGCAGAGGTCGACCTCGAGGCACCTTATTTGTGGGGTGCCGCAAGGGTCAGTCCTCTCACCCCTTCTGTTCAACATTTATGTAAAACCGCTAGGTGAGATCATCCGTGGTTTTGGGGTGAGTGTTCATCAGTATGCTGATGACACACAGCTATACATCTCCACCCCAGACCACCCCAATGATGCCTTTGCTGTGATGTCCCGTTGCCTGGAGGCCGTGTGGATCTGGATGGGGAGAAACAAGCTCAGACTCAACCCCTCCAAGACCGAGTGGCTGTGGCTTCCGGCGTCCCAGTATAGTCAGCTGGTACCATCACTGACAATAGGGGATGAGATCTTGCTCCCCACAGAGAGGGCCCGCAACTTGGGTGTCCTCCTGGATTCACGGTTATCTTTAGAAGATCATTTGACGGCCGTGGCTAGGGGTGCCTTTTATCAGGTTCGCCTGATCCGCCAGTTGCGTCCCTTTCTGGATCGGGACACCTTACGCACGGTCACTCATGCCCTAGTTACCTCCCGTATGGACTACTGTAATGCTCTCTACATGGGGCTCCCCTTGAAAAGCACCCAGAGGCTCCAACTGGTCCAGAACG